TGATGCCTGAAATGGAGCCAGAGATGATGACGTTGAGCAATGGAGCAGCGGGAGACTTTAGATCCAGAGAGGGAGAGCGACTGTGTGCTGAAGACCTGGGGGTCATGGGGGAAGGATTGCATGGAGGGGATTGTAACCATGGCAATGAGAAGATACACGATAGAATGAATGTAAAACTAATGTTTTCCATGTAAACTATCACATAATTCACAATAAAACATTTAAGAAAAAAACAAACAAAAAACTTAAAATGAGAATAAAATGGCCTTCGCAAAAAAAAAAAAAAAACCAGACCCATCAACCGCTCCTATATAGGGTTGCTACGAGTCGGGCTGTGAACCTCAGGGTCAGCAGTTGGAAACTACCAGCTGTTCCGCAGGAGAAAGATGAGGCTTTCTGCTCCCGTAAAGATATATAGCTCTGGAAACCCTATGCAGGGTCGCTTTGAGTTGGAACCGACTCCACGGCACGTAACCTATCACCATGAGTCAGAACCGACTTGAGGACATTTAACAAAATCAGCAACAGGTATTACACTGCCAAAGTATATGCTGGGACCTTTCATCCTTTGTGTTTGGGCCCTGTGGAAGATCACAACTTACTGTGGAAACCAGAAGATTTGCAGTAACTGAGAGTTCGCTAAGATCAGCCCAGGGTGAGAAGATTCGTTGGATTCCCATCTGTTTAAGCAGTTTGTGCATCTCATATTTCTGATCCAGTTTGAACTTTGGAAAGAAAACTTCCATTTTTCTGTGGCACAAGGACATATTGTGGTGAAATAAATGTAGAGAAAGGCACAGGGCAAACACTGACAAGACCACACATTCTTTTCTGTCTCCCTCAGATGATGCAATGGTCTAAGATGGGTGGGGGAATGTTGGGCCATTGGGTCTTATAAAGCCTGCAAAATCATTTGGTCTGGCCCAGCTGGGGCAACCACAATTCAGCTATCACATTGGTTTAGGTGGTGATGTGCCATGGAGTCAGTTCTGACTCATAGCGACCCTTTATAAGGATTCCGAGGCTGTAAGTCCTTATGGGAACAGAAAGCCTCATCTTTCTCCCGAGGAACCACTGGTAGTTTTGAACTGCTGACCTTGAGGTTAGCAGACTGACTCATAACCACTATGCTACCAGAGCTCTTTAATTAAACGTTTGACTAAATATAGAAGACTAATTTCTTAGTTGATGGTTTTATGTGACCCATGATAAAAATATCCAAATGACTCTTGGCCAAAACAAGGTTCCCCACCCATGGTCTCTGGTGGCATAGTGATTATAAATTGGGCTGTGAACCTTAAGGTCAGCAGTTCGAAACTACCAGCCGCTCCGTGGGAGAAAGATGAGACTTTCTGCTCCCGTAAAGATTTACAGCCTCAGAAACCCTGTACAGGGTCGCTATGGGTCGGAACCTACTCGACGGCACTTAACAACAACAACAACCCCTGGTCTAAGAATGTTTTTGGCTTATCTAATCTATAGAGCTGGTATGATGCTATAGGATAAGCACTGGACTGCTAACATCAAGGTTGGAGATTCAAACCCACCAGCAGCTCCTTAGGAATACTATACAGTGTCACTAGGAGTTGAAACCAACTCAACAACAATCTACCAGCTTACTCATTTTATTGAGCTTTGAAAATACTGCGTTTTCTACACATTAGAGGGTTGTGGTCACCTTGCCACACATTGAACAAATCTACGGATTCCTAACAGCATGTGCTTCACTCCGCAACTCTGCATTGTGTTTTGGTTATTCTAATATTTCAAACTTTTTCATAATACTATTGGACACTTAATAGACTGCTCCCAAACCCCAAGCCCATTGGCGTTTAATTGATTCGACTCACAGTGATCCTACGGGCGGAGTAGTACTGCTCCCTAGGGTTCCTGAGGCTGGAAGTCTTCAGTCTTTCTCCCCTGAACTAACTTTAACTCCTGGGGTAACGCACTGGGACCAAAAAAGGTCAGTTTAAGCCTCAAGGCCGGCAGTTTAAACTCAGCAGCCATTCCTAGAAACCCTACGCAGAGTCGGTGTGAGTCGGAAACACCTTCACGACACTAACACCGCTGTCAACATTGCCTACATTCACTGGGAAACCAAAAAAATTGTGCGACGCACTTTACTGTGAGATTTGTTTATTGCAAATTGCAGGTCTACCTGTAAACTAGATCACGTTACTGCCCGCTGCATGCACCCTGCCAGCGTTGGCTATCCACTTCCGCGTATGACTACTAGGTTATTGTTTGTCTCCCCTCGCTGAATGTAAACTCCACGAAGGTAGGGACTCCTGCCTGTTTGGTGTGATGCTGGGGCACAGTGCTTGGTGCAAGGGAACAACTCAGTAAATGGTGTCTACATAAATGCACGCAAGAGCCAGGGGAATGCTGGCGGCAGAGAGGACCCAGGACAACGCAGCCCCTGCCTCATGGCGCTTGCAGCTCACCTGGCAGGATGACTGTCCTCCCACGTGTCCTGAATGATGTGGTGAGCTTTAGCAAGGACAGGCAGGCAGAGTGTGTGCAGAGTGAGGGGAAAGCTCTACCTGGTTTTCATGTTCTGAAGCCAGGCCTCCACCAGATCTGCGCTCAGGTAGTCCTCAAGGGCGAGATAGTCGTCTGGCCTCTGCGTGAAGATCACCAGCATGGTGGCGTTTCCTCGGTAGGGCAGTTTGAGGATGTGGCAGCGGAAGTTCTTGTCAAAGGTGGAGGCGAACATGCCTGTCCTGTACATCATGGGCACCTTCACTGCTTTGTACTTGTCCAGGCGGAAAGTGTCCAGTTCCGTGAAGAAGGGATCAAATGGAATCAGCCAGTTCCCTGCAGTCAAGAAAAGAGCGCATTGCAGAAACTGCCCTCCACAGAAAAACCTTGTTCTTGCTAAAGTTTAAGAGGACGAGCATCCATCCTTTTCCTTCTCCAACTAGGAAAAGCATCCCAATCTGGGATTTGCTCTGAGTCCAGAGTGGGCAGGCAGGACAAATGTGTGAGCCAGCCTTGCCAGTCCCTCTTCCAGCTGGTAAAACAGAGACCTCCTGCAGGGTCTACTGGAAGCCTACCTAGAGCAAGGATCCTCCTTCCCCTCATTTGTTCTAGAGCTGAACAAGTCACATTCCAGCAGGTGCCCTAAATAACCCCTTCCACACTCAGTCTCTGGTGGTTTACCTTTGCTGGCCTCCTGTCTGCCTCAGACCATCTACTGGCCACATTGTCTCAGGCACATCCATGCGCAAACATCCATCATCACACAGAGCCTGGTGAGACAGAATTGATGACATCCCTGCCTGTCAACTGCCTAAAGTGGTTCTGAGGGAAGAGTCCCTGCTGACCAAAAGAGGCCACCAGCAGGTGGCACAGTGTCCACCACATGCATGTCTATCTGGGGGCGGGTGGGGCCTTACCTCCTTCAGTGTCTCACTAGTGAGGCACCTTGGTGTCCTGGACGGGCGTGGCATCAAAGCCTTAGGAGATCCTAGTTCACACCTGGCTGTGTGACCTCGATCAAGCTAAACAACCTCTCTGAGCTTTACTTTCATCCTCTTTAGGAAGGAGGCCATGGCCCCTGCTTTGCCTACTTCATTGGCAATTACAAAGATCAAACTATCAAATTATTGCCGTGCTTAGTACATACTAGGTGGTGCAGTAAGGAACCCTAGTGGCGCTGTGAGTTAGGCATTGGGCTGCTAACTGCAAGGTCTGGTTCAAAACCCACCAGCCACTCTGAGGGACAAAGATGACACTGTCTGCTCCCGTAGAAACTCACGGTCTCAGAAACCCTCTATCGGGTCTTTATGAGTCAGAAATGACTCGACAGTGATTTTAGATGGTGCAGTAGATTAAGCATTGGGCTGTTAACCACAAGGCCAGCAGTTCAAACTCACCAACCACGCAGTGGGAGAAAGATGAGGCAGTCTGCAGATTAATACGGAAACCCTAAGGGGCAGTTCCGCTCTGTCCTGTAAGGTGGTCAAGAGTGAGAGCCACAGTGGGTTTGGTTGGTTTGCTTAGGTGCCAACACAACTGGACACTTTATACTCATCGTCACAACTAAGCCTCAAGACACTATGGTGGGTGGGAGGGTCCATGTTTTCTATACCAATCCAACCAAGGACAGAACTTGTCCCTTGGACTAGATCCCAGAAGTAAAGAGGAAAGGAGTCAGGCCATAGCCCTGAATCTGCGATGATAAAGACCATGCTTTGTCTTCATGCCCCAGGACTATGGCCCCAAATGTCCTAACTGCTGTAGAGAGAGAGGCACTTGAAAACATTAGGATCAGGGGTTCAACTGGCAGTGTTGATACATCATCTACGTTCTGTGGAATCTGAAACCACGTTCTTGGGAAACCCGATGCTGGCCAAATGCAGGGAAGCGGGGAGGTGAGGGACCTGTGGTTTGGGGAGAGCAGAGCAGAGCAGACTAGTGTACCTTTGAACAAGATGTAATCCACAAGAATTAATTTGGTTTCAGGACTAATTTCATCGAAGAGTTTGGGAATTCGACCTTGCGTCTCTTTGTTAATGTACTGATTCATGAGGCCTGTGGCCTGTGAGGCGTTGCGGAAATTCATAGGCACACACTCTGTATCAAAATACCTCTTCGATAAATTCAGGAAGCTCTCTTTGACATCAACATCCTTGTGGATGAAGGCCAGACTGCCCTGGCTGAGACCCAGCTCCCAGTTGTGGGACAGGGTCTCTCTGAGTTGCCCAAAGAGGGCCGGCAGGGTCTGGGTCTGGTTCAGGGCCTGCAGACCCAGCCCGCTCAGGATCTGGGTGCGGGTGGACCCCGAGGCCCCCAGCGTCAGGGTTGCCATGGCGAAGGACAGGCCAAGCGGGGAGAAGAGCACGTTGCCTTCATGCCTCATGGAGATCTTGCGTAGCAGACTGAACCCGAAGTCAGAAATCTCGTGGGAGAGCTTCTGCCTGCTGGCCGCCAGCCAACCCTCCGCTTTCTCCTCCATTGTGGGAAGCTGGTCCTGGGGAGTCCCGGGTCCTGCCTCAGCATCTGAGAGTGGGGGTCCATAGATGATGAAGCCGGGAACCAGCCACACCTCTTCCAGGAAGACCAGGAACAGCAGGTTTAGCCTCATCTTCATGTCGTCTGTCCACTGAGCAGGTCAACCACGAGACTTCTCTAGACACAAGAGAGATAAGATCATTCCTAATGCCTTGCAATATACTTTCTCTGCAGGATGGGGACTGTCCTCCTGGGACCCTGCTTCCTTTCGGGGATGACGGGTAACTGTATCTCTGCCCTCCTGCTATGGATCTTGGCCCATGTGTCTACCCTCAGAGGGGGCTTAGTTCACAGCGAACCTACCCAAGTTCCCTGCAGACATGTGACCTCCATGAAGGGTCAGATGGAGAACCCTGAGAATAGAGGCTGCAAAGCGGGTAGGTGATTGAAGGGACATGCCTTGGGCTGCCCTCTGCCCAAGTGGTCACAGCAGGGCCAGGTGAGGTCAGGAGGCCCACAAGACTTTATTGACCTTGCTTCACTCACTTCTCTTGATCCAATGGCCATAAAGGGGCTTTTGGGAAGCTTTGCCCACCCAGCCTGTGCTGCGGGGACCTTGGTCTGTGGACATGTTTGGGCTGGTAAGTTAGAGGGTCTGAGTGGTTAAGCGCTCAGGTGCTGGCTGCTAGCCCAACGGTCAGCTGTTTGAGCCCACCCAGCCGTTCCACAGGAGAAAGCTATGGCAGTCTGCTTCTTTATGGCTCACGGCCATGGAAACTCTATGAAGACTCTGCTCTGCTCTGTGGGATCACTAGTAGTTGAAATTCACTCAACAGTGTGGGTTTTTTTTTGGTCTTGAGTGGGACTCAAAGCAAGGGAGTTGCCCGGCTTTTGAGTCAAAATTCTCTTCCCATGCCCCTGTCCTACATACAGCACTGACCCCACCCACCAGCCCTGGGACAGATCTGCTCAATTCCTTTGATGTTTTTTTCTCTTTGCTGTGAAGTCCCTTTGTGCATGCTCAGTCGCTAGCTGAAAGGTGGAAGGTTCAAGTCCATCTAGCAGTTACCTTGGAAGAAATGCGTGGTGGTCTGCTCCTGAAAGATCGGCCGTTGAAGTCCTACAGAGTGCAATTCTGGCACACACGGGCCCCCAGAAATTGACTTGGTGGCAACTGATCAACTTTGTGCTCCACCTCGAGTTCCCAGGGAGGAGGGGGATGAAGAGCTAATTCACACAAGGCCTTGGCTGAACGCTGATTGGATGACCTCATCTAATCCTTACATCGACCTGTGAAGCCACTACTGTCTCCCATTCCCCCACGTGCTGCATTCTAGTGGGCAGAGATGGTCCAACCCCACAGCCCTCACCTGAAACACTTCTCCAGGCTCCTCGACATCCTTAGGGCACAGAACCTGGCCCCTGAGCAAATGACCATCAGCTCTGCTGTGTCTCCCCACTCAGTTCCTGGTGACACGACAGGACTGCATCCCAGAGCCCTGCTGGGCACCTAACCCTCACCCTCTCTCTCTTTTGGAATTACTGTATGGGCAGGTCTGGAGGCGAGGCAGGACCAACCAGCTCAGCAGGGCTGTAGGCCCCACCCTGGTTGCCATCGGCAGAAACCCTCATCTGAACCAGGGTCAACAGTCGCAGGAAAGGGACAAGAGTGAAGGTCCCGGCCTCTCTCTCTCCACCGCAGGCGGGGTGCCCTCGTCTGTGCCTGGTTAGAACCACACCAGGCCTAGCAACTCAGCACCTTGGCCCCTGCTCACACTAATGCCTCCTGAAATCCAGGGTCTCACTCCCCCACCAGCCGGAAGAGCTACTTTCTCCCAAAGTCCGTGTTTAGGGACCCAATTCTACAAGCAGTCCTGGTGGTGCAGTGGGCTAAGCATTGAGCTGATAACTGCAAAGTCGACTGTTGGAACCCACCAGCTGCTTTGTGGGAGACCCGTGAGACTGGTCCTGTAATGATTTACAGTTCCAGAATCCTTTAGGGTCCTATGAGTTGGAATTGACTGGGTAGCAATGGGGTGGGGTTGGGTTCTTGGTTTTCCAGTTCTACACTCAGTGGGCCCTCCAGTATTCTTAATGTTGGGGGAAGGCCTCCTTCAATGTGCCAGATGTGATCCCCTCCCCTCCCCCCCACTTCATGCCTCCATTATGTTACAATATTGAACCAACCCCAGTCACTGTTGACTCCGTTTCGACTCATGGCAACCCTGTGTACATGGGGGCACAATTGTGCTCCATGGAGTTTTCAATGGCTTATTTTTCAGAAACAGATCACCAGGCCTTTCTTCTGAGGTGAATTTGAACCTCCAACCTTTCAGTTAACAGCCAAGATCATTCACCGTTTGCACCACCAGGGATTCCAACGTGCCGTGAGATACTCCTAAATTTGGGGTGACTTCTCTCAGTCACGTCGTCAGGAAATTGTCCCAAATGCCGTCCCTTCCACTCAGTCTTACCCACGGTCCTTGAAGTTCCTCCTTCAGGCTGAGGAACGGCGGCCCAGCATGCCTCGTTTTGCTTGCTGGACCATCCCGTGGGTACCCTGACGTATTGGTTCATCTGCTGAACCATACAGAATCTGTATGCAGGGGACATGTCTTCAGGGACTAGGGTGCCATCAGGTAAGCTGAGGACACACCTTGGTCCCAGCAGACCCTCCGCTCAACTACCATTTCTCAGTGACCCCACCCACCAGTCACCCCAGACCCTCAAGGAACCTGGAAGGAGGATCCCGGGAGACCAGAGCATGGCGGAGAGGTGAGAAACCAGCCTTAAGGTCCCCTTGTCTTGTCCTCAGAGGAAGCTCCTTGAGTGGCTCAGGCCTCTGGCCCCACCCTGCTCCCTCTGGTTTACCCAGGATTGAGGGCTCTGCCCTGCCCACCACCCACCCTCTCACCAGGAATGAGACCTCGCTGCCTTGCTATGGCTGTCACCTCCCTCCCTTGAAGTCTCTGCCTCTTACCTGTAAAGGACTCTCTGGTGCCTGGGGAAGTCCTTCCTTCAGGACAAAGACAAAAGGTGAAGGTTTGCAGCTGAAAGCCTTTAGCAAATATTTGCTATTCCAAAGTATGACCCCCACACCCCACTGTAGAACAGTTACTGATTAATGACTTGCTGGGAGATAGTGGCATTTTTGGAAAACCAAAGACCGAGAGCAAAGTGTCCCCTAACCCAGCTCTCCCTCCACCCTGAATACTGGAAGTCCACCCTCGGAGCTCCTCTGCCCTAGTAAAATTCAGCTTCTTATGGGGTCAGGGTGCAGGGAAACCGTTGAGTTCCTCTGGACCTGAACACGGAATGAGGAAGTGACCGTGGGGTCTGCAGATGCTTCCTGAGTGGCCAGCCCAGTGCTGGGCCCCAGGAAGGCAGAGACGAGTCAAGCCTGCTCTCCCCACATCCCAAGGAACTTCTAGTCCAATGTGGGAGGCCGATATGCCACCACTATGTCAGTGGTAATGAAGCCAATTTCATGGTGAACTGACTGCTTTCACAGTGCTCACTGAGTCATGAGACAGGAATCCTCAGACACCCATGGTCAGGTTTGGTTGTTGTTGTTGTTAGGTGCCATTGAGTTGGTACCGACTCACAGTGACCCTATGCACAACAGAACAAAACACTGCCCGGTCCTGGGCCAACCTCACAATTGTTGCCACGCTTGAGTCCATTGATGCTGCCACTTTGCCATTCCATCTTGTTGGGGGTCTTCCTCTTTTTCTCTGACCCTCCACCTTACCAAACATGAGGTCCTTCTCCAGAGACTGGTCCCTCCTGACAATAGGTCCAAAATATGAGAGACAAACTTTGGCCATTCTGGCCTCCAAGGAACAATCTGGCTACACTTCTTCCAACACATATCTGTTGGTTCTTTTGGCAGCCCATGGCACTTTCAATATTCTCCTCCAACACCATAACTCAAAAGCATCAATTCTTCTATGGTCTTCCTTATTCACTGTCCAGCTTTCACATACATATGAGGTTATTGAAAATACCATGGCTTGGGTCAGGTGCACATTAGTCCTTAAGCTGACATCTTTGCTCTTCAACACTTTAAAAAGGTCTTGTGCAGCAGATTTTCCTAATGCAATACGTTGTTTGATTTCTTGACTGTTGCTTCCATGAGTATTGATAGTTGATCCAAGAAGAAGGAAGTCCTTGACAACTTCAATCTTTTCTTCGTTGATAAGAATGTTGTTTATTGGTCCAGTGTTGAGGATTTCTGTTTTCTTTTCATTGAGATGCAATCCATACCGAAGGCTGTGGTTTTTGATCTTTATCAGTAAATATTTTAAGTCCTCTTCACTTTCAGCAAGCAAGGTTGTATCATCTGCATATTGCAGGTTGTTAATGAGTCTTCTTCCAATCCCGATGCCATGTTTTTCTTCATATAACCCAGCTTCTTGTATTATTTGCTCCGCATACAGGTTGAATAAGTATGGTGAAAGAATACACCCCTGTAGCACACCTTTCTTAATTTTAAACCATTCAGTGTTCCCATGTTTTGTTTGAACAACTGCCTCTTGGTCCAGGTCCAGATTAGCCCCCAGCTCATGGCCACCACGTGCACTGAATAATTGGATCATTGTGAGAGCCGTAGAGTTCACATCGACTGACTTTGAGAAGTAGGTCTCCAGGCCTTTCATTCCAGTCCATCTGAGTCTAAGAAATCCCGCTGAAGTCTATTCAGCATCCTAACTCCACTGGCACATGGGGGGTGGGTGCACATAGGAGGTGCACTGGCCAGGAGTTGAACCTGAGTGTTCTCCGTGAAAGGCACATGTTCTACCAGTGAACGCAGTGTGATGGATCACTTTCATATGACTTTTCTAACCTTTGTCTTGTAACTCCCACCAAACAATTAGGTGGGTTTTGCTAATAGGTGCTTGTGGCCCACCAAGGGGATTGGACGGCTTGCTAATACTATAATGCAAATTAAAGTGCATGACACTTTGTTGGGGTGTTGTTGTTGTCAAGTGCCGTCAAGTCGATTCCGACCCATAGTGACCCTGTATAGGGTTTCCAAGGAACAGCTGGTGAACTTGAACCGCCGACCTTGGAGTTCAAATGGCTTTGCAGTCTGGTGCATTAACCTACAGTGCCACACCAGGACTCCTTGTTGGGGTG